GACGATTTGGTAAAATAAAATTCTTTAATGGATTAGAATAAGGGAGAGAGCAACAGAGAATGAGAGGGATGGTAATGGGGGAAATTCATTGCTTTGTTTTGAGTCTTGAGTGGATGGATGCTTCACCCATGCATGATTTTGTAACCTCATGCATTATTCATTTGGAAAATATTGGTGCCTTGATTTATGAGTACTTTCCAAATAGTGACACATTTTATTGAACAATTTTAAGCAATAACATTTGTTAACATCACCATTAATTCAATTAGTAACTTCCTAATATATTGGGAATATGTCAAGTTGCAGTGGCAGATACAGTCTTCTTAGATTTTTTTTTAATTGAAAGTTTGAATTTTATTATTGGCAGCAAACTATTCCAGTTGTTTTCCTAAAAGTGACAGGCTCGTTTTGATCATTTTGGACAAAATGTCTGCCAAATACCATCATTATTTCAAGGAAAAAATAAAAGTGGCTAGTTCAGCTTGCAACTCTACTATTTACACAATGAAATGAAAGATGAAATGTTACTATTTAAAACAAAATAGTGACCCTCCGTGGTGGCCCAGTGGGTTAGGATGCAGCACTGCAAGTTAGCCTCAGCTGCTTCAGTGTGAGTTCCATCCCCAGCTCTGAAGGTGATCCACACGGCATGGCAGATCTCACCTGACTCAGCAGCTGCTCCCTTCAGTAGTGTACTTCGTTGATCTACCCGTTCTGCTCCCCACTCTGTCTCTGGTGAATCCTCTCACTGCCCATGTCCCTCTGGCCTGTACCCTAGTTCTTTTTGTCTAAATAAATAAATAAATCTTAAAATGGTAAAAAAATAAAGGTGGCTAGTTCAGCTTGCAACTCAACTATTTATACAATGCCTTCCCACTATTAATTTTGTATGCAGTAGAAATGCTTTATGTATCCTTTCTATGTATCACAAAGAATATTAAGGAAACAGATATCTGAAAGTTGAGGCTTAATAAAAAGATTAATTTTTGCTACTTCATCAAAGACATTCTGGAATTAAACTGTCATTTAAAAATAGTAAATGTGATTGAAAATAGATATATGACCCAACAATTCCATTTTTGGCAACCATCTGAAGAATATGAAACCATCAACTAAAAGAAATTATATGTTCTACAATGTTTACTGCCATCTTATTTATAATAACTGTTATAGGGCACCAAATCTGTTATAGGGCAGGGGGAGAGAGGGGCACCTCTGAAGCCCCAAAAACCTGCCTGCTCTAAGTGGGTTCTGCCATCCGCCGCAACAAAACAAAACATATAAAACTTTAATGAAAAGGGACTTTAATACAGTAAATATACAATATGGAACACAAAGAATATAACTTCTAAATCAAACACGTGAAGTTACCCATCCCCTCATGGGCAAAAGTCCACCCAAAAGGGATTGGCCCAAAGCAAGGCCTGAAAGCTGCCATAAGACTAAAGCACCTTCTGGCCAGGACCCATGGAAAAGGGTCAGAAATGGCCAGACAAATTGGGAGGAAAAGAGCAAAATCAAAATCAATATAAACACTGCCATCGTCACCTCCCTGCAGGTATCTCACCCACATCCACCTTAACCAGTCCAGTGTCAGGAAACAAGCACGGTTTCTTCATCACATGCTTGCTGCTCCATGTGGCTTCCTCAGGTCTCCTGGCTCTCCATCCTGCTTCATTCTCTTCTCCCCTTTTTCTCTGCTCAGCTCCACCCTCCTTCTGGGTTGGGCAGGGAACCTGGAACTTCCCTTTTCCCTAGGGACCACCCTGTTACATAACTACAATATGGAAACTAAGCACCAACAACAATCTAGTAAGAGGACTGTATTAAGGGGGTAAGGGCATATCCAACAATGGAATACTATTCAACTGTAAGGAAAGATGAAATGTTACTATTTAAAACAAAATGGCAGGAGATTGCAGGAAACATGTAGCAAAGAAAGTCAGAAAGATAAAGACAAATACTGGATGATTTCAAATATATGAGTAAAATAAGGAATCAAAGCAGATAAAAAGGTCAAGTAAAGTGATTATAAACTTAGACATTGATTACTAACGTGAGGTTTCTCAGGCTAAGAGGGAAGAGGATGGGAGAAAAAGACACACGAGTAGGTGGTGAGAGAAAAAAATATAATCAAGTCATATTACATTATAACCCAGGTACAAAGTAAATAGCCAAGAGCTCGTATTGATTTTCATAAATCATGAAAAAAAATTAAAAATGTTTTATTTGGTCAAAACATAAATAAAATATTGTTTGTGCATTAATTAAATTATTACTAGTACAGTAATATTGTCCACTATTGCTTTTATATCACTGCAAATTTCAACACAGCATAGAGGCAAACAGTCTTATGTTTACTATGATGATAGTTTAGGTACTACAGACTGACCTCTGAAACATCTCAGGGACCCATACATGTATTCAGATTATACTTTGAGATTAATTCTCCCAACCCCTGCTAGAATGTATTTCCCACAATTCCAGGGTTTTTATCTCTTGTTCATGGATATACCTCTAGGACCTAGATCATGTTTGACACATTTTAGGCATTCATTAAATATTTGTTTAATTAATTATCAATCTGAATTAGAACACAATGGTGAAGAGTTTATAATCTGCATTACTGAAAATTAATTAAATTTTTTTTTGTTTTGTGCATGTAACGTATATAACAAATCATATGGTGAAAAGTACCTCACATTGCCATCTCTGTGGCACTTAATTTCTTTCTTAGAGATACCCTATTTTGGTTTCTTATGTATTTTTTCAGAGACATTTTATGGATTCACAAGCATTACATATACAAGAATATTCCTTTCCCCCCTCACATATATGGTGGTATATTTTGCACAATGTGGAAACTTTAGTACTTTCTTAAAAGTAAACTTTTTCTTTTGGAATAATTGTGAATTTACAGAAAAGCTGTATAAAATCTTCTACAACTACTCACTTCCATTCATGTTAAAATTTTACATATCTGGAGTTTTGTGACAAAACTAAGAAACTAACATTGCTAAAATACTATTAACTAAATTATAGACTCTATTCAGATTTCACCAGCTTTGTCCTTTAGTTCTATGGTCTAATCCAGGATACTGTATTGCATTTAGCATAGTGGGTTTTTGCCCCTTAAAGGGTATTTTGAGGATTGTCTCATATAAGTTAATATGCAGTCGCCTCATTTCTGAAACAACCTTAGACGAATTCCTAGAAATGGAATTTCAGGGCCAACTATAATGCGCATTAGACTCTCAAAACTTCTCTCTCCCTGGAAGAAATGAGTATACATTTCTAAGTACAGCCTGTGATTTTCGTGGTGCAAATTTCTTTGAAGTTCCAAGATTCGGATTGGGTATTGGATAAAGGTGATAAATGTACTCAAATTTTTTTTGCTTACTGCCAAGCAGTAACTGTCATCTATTTTAAATGTACTGGCACAAGCACACCAAGCACTGCATGATTTACATTGTAACAGTAATTCATCAACCATACATACATCGTGGGTTTCCCTTAGCACCACTAGGGGGCTCTGCTAGAAGGATTTTTATAATTTATGTTAATCCAGTTAAAGAAATATTTGGAGATTATGTGTTAGAATTCTGACTGGAAAACTTGGAAGAGATAATCTAATTCAGTTTTCTTATTTTTGCTGCAGGAATAAGGAAGCCAAGGTTGGCCAATAGAGCTGGCATGAAAGAGAGTTGAAATAAAAACGTCCCTCTTGGTCCCTGAGGCAGGAGTTCACAGAAATCTTTTTTTTTCTATGTGCCTTCACTGAATGATTTATTTCCAGTAACTATTTCCCTTTTTGTGGCCACAATTTTAGTGATTTTTTTCTAATAACCAGGTATTGTGATTTTTATAATACCATACTGATTAGGTGAAAGAAGTGCATGAAATACAAACTTCTAAATAAACTGTATTACTTCTTCCAAGATATTCCATCCAAGTACCTCTCGGCATGAAAATCCCATTACTTTCTGTAAACCTAACAACTGCTTTCAAATTGCCTTTCAAATTTACTTTCCGTTGGAAACATTTTACTCTTATCTTTACTCATTTATTCATTCAATATTTATTGAGTGCCTGCTAGCACCAGGTACCATCGTAGGTGCTGGACTAACCCCTCCCAACTAGCATCTGCTTCTCTTTCTTTCACTTTAATGCATAAACTATTTTCACATGTTTCAATGTATTGTTTTTCATTGTGTGGCCCCTGAGCCAATAGTAGGAGCAGCAGCATCTGGGAACTTCTTTAAACATGCAAATTATTAGGCCCACGCCTAATGCGGCCCAGCAATCTGGTTTTTAACAAGCTCTCCAGGGATTCCGATGTGCACTCCAGTCCAAAAACTATGTCTTTAGCTCAATGGCTCGGGGTTGATTATCTAGGTGGGTCAAAGCTCAACATCTGGTTTCCAAACCCACCTCCGTCATGGCCACGCAGATCGCCCCCTCTCCCATGCCCCTGATGGGACCCAACGCTGACTACCCTCGAGGCGAGGATTTGGATGTAGTACCTGAGCGATGGGAGTAACTGTGGCACTATAATGGCTCCAGAACAAAAGCCGAGCGCAGCGGATGTTCCCGGGCCTACACCAACTGAAAGTGGACCGGGCTGAGTTCTGGAACAGTGCTTTCAGGCGCTAGACCGAGCCTGGCACCCCGAGCCCGTCGGTTCTGGGTCTGAGTGGGGGCGGGCACTCCCCGGCGAGCCCAGCCGCCCGAACCCGTCAGGTCGGATTCGAGCCTTTGGTCGCCAGCCAGGGGCTGGCAGCGCGGAGCGTACCACATGCGCTTCAGGAGGGGCGGAGGCGCGGCAGCCGACCCGGCCGCGCCGGCCAGCGCGGAAGCCGCACCCTCCAGGGCCCGACGCCGACTGGGCGGAGCCACGCGGCCGCAGCTCGGGCTGAGACACGCGGCGCGGCGCGGGCTCGCGGCTGAGGCGTATGGGGGCTACAACGGGAGCGGCTGCGCCGCCCGGCCAGGTCAGCGTCCTGCGCATGCGCGGACCCGGCGCCATTTTGGTGGCCGGGCGCGGAGGTGATTCCACACTGAGAAGAGCGCGGCGGCTGGGGTGGCAGTGGCAGCGTTCGTGTGCTCGGGTGTGAATCGCCGAGGGAGGAGGCGGTGGAGGAGGAGGTGGCGGCGGTGGCGGTGGTCGTAGCGGTGGCGGAGGAGGCGGGTACGAATCAGCTGCGGGCGGAGACATGGCCAACATCGCGGTGCAGCGAATCAAGCGGGAGTTCAAGGAGGTGCTGAAGAGCGAGGAGGTCAGAAATGAACTCCCGGACATCCCCCCACCTCAGCCCAGGGCGGGAGGGCCCTTCCTGCGGCGACCCCGGCAGCCTCGGTCACCCTCGAGTGGCCCTCCTTGCGGCCGCCCTTCTGCCCATGGGGAAGCAGCAGTCTCCCCCTCCTTCCGCCGCCTTCCCCTCCTCTCCCCGGGCCCTGGGATGGACGATCTCGCGGGCGGTGTGCTGGGGAGGGACGCGGTGTGGGGGGCAGGTGGAGAAGGGGACACTGCGGGGCAGGGTGTGAGCTCTAGAGCGAGCCCGGAGCCTGTGGCAACAGCTGGATGTGTGACTGTAGGGTGGAGAAGGCGCAGGCCGAGCTCGAGAAAACCCGGGAAGTGGGTTGGGGGAAGGGGAAAGGTGGTAACTGGATCTGTCGGGCCGCGCTGCTCACAGGCCCACACTTTTGAGGGTATTCTGGCCGGAGTCTAGTCTGGCCTCCCGCGTTCTTTCCTTAGGGGAGGAGTGACGAGAGCCCTTAGGTCAGGATGGAAGGAAAAGGACCTAGGAGTTCCTCCCTCCTAGGTGTTGGGCAGGAAGAGGCAACAGAATGGGATACTATCTTATTTTGATGGGGGGGGGGGAGGAATTTCACTTAAGAAATGAAACGAAGGCCAAATTAGACCATTATCTCATTTCCACTTACCTCTAATTCCTAGGCCTCCTTTCTATGACAGCTAAAGCCTTTTGATTGGGTACAGGCAAGTTGCTTGGTGTATTAAAGACACTTAAATATTTTTAGGTAGGAAAAATGCCGTGTTTGGGTAGCTTCAAAGTGTTTACAAGTTACAGATCAGAGCGTCTTCTAAAACAATGCCTCTGTGACTCTTGTGTTGTGCTGTGAAACTTCATTATGATGTCCCTCTTAGTTAACTTGCTTCTGGTTTTTGAAAACAGACCTATTAGAAACATGGGATTTCATCAAATTAATATGCTGTGATATCTCCTTATAATGTGTTTATCCCAACATGTTTTATCTGAAATAATTGATTTTTGAAGGGGGATGGTCTCAAGCTACTCTTGAGACCAGCAGAGTTAAATACACTAGTCTTAGCCACATTTACTTATGTAAGGCATTCTAAATGTTTTTGTCATTTTGCTCACAATTATGCAGATATCAGTACTATTTGACACCAAAATCAACAAAACTGCCAAGCGATTTTCCTGCTTGGTTTTAACAAAGAATAAAAATCCTGAAATGGTTGTTTTCAATGTATTACACACCTTATTGACATATCATGGCTATTTATTCTCTTACTTTGATTAACTTTGAGACCTAAATGATTTGTGAAATTCCTACTCACAGTAAGCCTGACAACACTTGGACCTAATTGGTGCCACAGTAATTAAGTACTTGGAGAAAATAATTCTTTAAAATTATACAAAATTGATAAATACTAGCAAACTTACTGACTGTAGTAGTGTTAAGTAACCATCAGTTTTACAGAGCATGTCTATGAACTCTGACCTCTGTATTTGTTCAAGTGCCAGGACTCTGAATGGAAGGATGACTTTGTATTTTCCTGGTACAGTACAGAAATACCGTCATAAATAGCTACTCATACAGTGAAACAGTGATTCTACTTTTTTATTTCATATGAAAAAGTATTCTAAAATAGTTAACATGCATATCTATTGAAAGGTTACAGCTAATTTTATTACCTACAGCTGAAAACATTTCTTTTCTCTATGCTAAGTTTGTACAAGCGTGAAACTTCATATGAGAGTTCCAAAGCTTTATTTTATCACTGATAAGTGGTAAGTTACTGCTTTGGTCATTTATATATTGTCTGCTTTAAGTGAGGTGGAGTCGTAACTATGATATTCTTAGCATAAGTTGAAGCTTAAAAGAGAACTTGTGTTGCTGTAGAAACATATTGTTAATAATACTGCTTGTATGTGTAAGGGATGATGAACCCTTATATAAAAGATGATGTAGGTGTCACAGTGGTTCAGCGAAAGAAAACAGGAAATGCAAATTAAGAATTTTTTATCAATACATTTATAAATTTCAAAGATAATATCTGGAAACTAAGTGTACAGAACGTTGAGGGAAGGGTCAAATAATTTAATATAACCTAGTTTTACATTTCACTTTTATTTTCCAGCAACATTTTAGTGAGCCTAGTTATAATATTTTCAACTTACTGAAAGACTTGCAGAACAATATATGTGCTTCCTTTTTAAGTGTGTAAGTGCTGTTATTTTGAGTGGCTGCTCAAATAATCAAGTATTCATGTGTTACCATGTAGATGTCCAGTTTAGCAATATATATTTTCAGTGTTTGTTACTAAGAATACTTTAAGTAGCTTGTTTTGGCCTTTTAAGTACCATTGTGAAGATGGCTGACATTTGCTGAATTGTGACCCTAACTAGTTATAAGTGATCATCCTTGGAGTGTTAGTAATTAAAATATAACCTTCAAGATTAATACAAAAATCTAGGTGCACAATAATGTGAAACAGGTCACCAGTTATGTCTGGGGGAAATATTTGTATGTGTTTGTATAGGTGAAAGGATTAATGAGAAATTGGTAAAATTGATTGCCTCTATGTAGGGAATTGGGTGTCTTGATATGAAACAGATTCCTTTTGAATTTTGAGTCATGTGAATATGTTATTACTAAAAATAATAAATGCACCATCTCCCAAGTTGCTAGAGTGGGAAATTGATTTAAAGTATACTACATTGCTATGAGTCAAAATGCATAAATCAGATACACCTAGAATAAAACTATAATCAGAATTTAAGCCATACTTTATATTATTATTTACTGTTACTACTGCTATTAACTACAATTAGAGTGGGTCTTAGTACTTATTTATGTGTATTTCTAATTCTCAAGAACAGATCTTTGAATTAGATTTTCTGTTTCTTAGATGAGAGGATTGAGATTTAGAAAAGTTAAATTATTTGTCTTTAAATGTAGTTTCAGGATTTGGATCTGGATCTGCATGTGTTTATATTGTACCACATAGTCATGACTTGTCAAGGTTAGGTATGCTTTTAATTATTTAAAAATGATCGAACCAGGTTTGTATTACTGGTTAAAGGATTGAAACACAACCTAATTTAATTGTTAAAACATTAAAATAAATGTTGCCTGTAATTAAGTTAAAGAATTACTTGTATTTCAAAATGCAGAATATTTTTAAATTTGAAGCACAGTGCAATAAAATGCCCTTAGATACATGCACATACTGTTGTTGCTTGTTCTTGTGCTATATGATACCTATCGTTTTTCACATGGTAGTTGGACTTCGCTCACATTTTCTAGGATTCGCATAGGTAGTATTTATGGTGTTGACAAATTGGTTTCACAAAAACTCCTATTTAAATTTTCCTTTAACATTTAAGTGGATTTTTATGTCATTAAATTGTATATATTTGATACAGTCATTCAATATAGAACTAGTGGCAGATATTTAAAAGAAAATCTCTAGGTATCAGTAGATTGGTTTCTTCTCAACCTTGGTACTATTTCCACTGGGAAGAGAAATCTGCTTGCAGGTGGTTCTCCTATGCAGTATAGGATATTCAACAGCATCCTGCCAGTGGCATTGCCACTCCCCCCACCCCATCATCCAACCCCCCCCCCATTCTTTGTCCTTGCCAGTTGTAGCAACTAAAAATTTCTCTACATTTTGCCATAAGTTGACAGCCACTGCTGTAGATAAAACTTCTATTTATTGACAAAATTCTTTGGAGGAACATGTAAGACATAATTCTTAAGATACGTAGTATAGTAAAATATATACTATCATGGCTTGTTCATAACCTGGCTATTACTAGCTATGTCAAGTGTTCTGATTTTATTTTTAAGACTTCAGTTATAAATTAATGACTACCTTTTTTTAAAATGTTTTTTCTTTTAAAAAGGGCGAAGTTCTTTGCTGTAAACTAACTACAATTTGAACAATTTAGAAAAGTGCTTTGTTTTTTAAAGTTAATTAAGTAACAGTTCTGTGTACCTTATTTAAATCTTGTGCTTAATTAATGGGTTTCTGGATATGAGTTAAACAAGGAAAACATAGATTGGGGAAGGAAATCAAAGCCTATCCAAATAATACTGTTTGGGGTGCATTTCTTGTTTTTTATTTTACTGTTGCAAAGACTTTGATCATTGTCCATCAGGTATAGATTTTAGATATATCTGGAATTTCAAAGCATATCACTTTTTTGTAAAGAACATAATTTCCCACTATGATATATGTTACCAACAGTTACTGAGCTTATTGACCACAGTCCCAAAAACCTTATCCGAGTGAAGATAAAGTTCAGTGAGAGAGTAATTATTATAGTTCTGCAGGTGTAGAGCGAAGTCTTGAGCTAGACTTCAAAGGAAACTTCCAAAGGAATTGCAGGAATATTGTAATTCATAAGTAAAGGATCTCTTAAGGAAGCTCCCGAATTGGAACTTGGGGGCAGATTATTGAGATTATTGATAGAGTTAGAAAAAAAACATGGTTAGGTCAGAAAGGCTGCATAATTCTAATATATACAAACATGGTTGTAGAGTTAGAGTACTTTTCTAAATTTCTTTACTATTATCTTTGGGGGGAAAAACACCTTACTCCATAGTAAAGTAAAATGTATGTGCAAAAAAGTATGACCAGTACTCAAATTAAAAAAACAAAAACAAAAACCAGCAACAGAATATTACTAGCATCATAGAAACTCCACTTTCTACTCCTTTATAGTTACCTTACAGACTTTGGTTTTTTTAAGCTTTACTTATTTATGCATAAAAGAACTTTGGTACAGGCTAGCGGTATAGGGAGTAAGAGGCTTCACCAGAGACAGAGTGGGGAGCAGAACAGTCAGAATGACTGAAGTTCACTGCTGAGGGGAGCAGCAGGTCGACCAGAGAGATCTGCCACATCATGTGGGTCACCCCCTTGGCCTGGAATGGAACTCATGCTGCAGTGGCTTTTGGATAGCTTCACAGTGCTGCACTTTAACCCATTGGAGGACCCTAT